GGCAAGCCCTTACCAATGTGCACAGACCTGGGGTGGACATTCTGTAGGGCACGGTGGCTTTGCCAGAGGACGTGTGGAGGCATGTGGATCATCATCGGTGCATGAATGTCTCAGAACAAAGAGTGACCCAGGTCTGATCACTCTATACACCCTGGGTGGGGGATTATGGGTGGGGGGGGGGTGACATAAGTGGAACAGAACAAAATGAGGGCAAAGGAGGCAAGGCTTCTGTCTGAATCCAAGGGGTTTCCCAGTGCATTTGTGCCCCCCCTCCCATCTCTGAAGGGTGGAGCCACTGCTTCGGTGTCTAGAGAAGTCCTCGTGACTCCTGGTCCCCATAATGCTGTGCGCTTTTCAACCAGTTTGATTCTTCCTTCTTAAACCTACCAGAACCTTGGCAACATTCCAGCATGCACCCAGCAATTATTCCCAATATACAAATCAACAAAGTAATGGGTTTGCCCCCCCACCCCAAAGGTCAATTCATGCATTTTATATGCTTCATGTAAATATTATATTGTGCTTGAACTCCTTGAAGCAGAATATATTCTCTATTCTCAAAAAAATCCTAAATATTGTTATACACTCTCACCCTCGTGTATTATTGTTGGGTCACATCTCCACGGATATGAGTTCATTCCCTGTTTCAGCTCTCTGTGTGGAGTTTGCATGTTCGTGTGTACTTCAGGTTACACAGTCGAAAAATATGTGGCTTAGGTGAACTGGTTCTTCCATAAAGGGGCCGACTTCAAATTCTAGTGTTTCGGAGAGTTGGGCTCCAGGCTTCGGTCCCATATTGGAAAAGCATTTGTGTAAAAGAATGGACAGTCTAAGTATGAGTAGGTTATTATAAATACAGAAGTGGTGCATTTCAGGACCTTGTTAGGACACGTGCACTAGCAGTTTTAATGATGAGTGCTTCAGTGGGTAGCAGCCTTCCTTCACACTTGTTCACACTTGTTAGTGGGTTGAATCCTGTGTCTGCTGTGTGTGGGTCTGCAGTTTGTTTGCTTTCTGTATCATCTGCATTTCCTCCTGGAGTCCAAAGACATGCAGTTAGCGTGGTGATACACAGGGCCACTTTTTGAGCAGTGATGCCGGGCAATGTTGCTGACCAGTGCCGCTAGGGCACATTCCTATTGATATGGAGCAACATGTTTTTATTTGAAAAACTTAAATCAGCAGTGGGCAACTCTTAGCAATCATCCAAATCCAGGTGAGTTGCCCTTTGTCTTACCTGGCTGGCAATTGCCCGGCAAAATTTGCTGTCTATCATCACCTTTAGGCCACTTTCCATCTCTAAATTGCCCATAATGTATATGTAAGTGCTTTGCAATGGACTGGAATCTTACCTAGAGTGTACCCTTACCTTGTTTCCTATGCTGCCTGGGATAGGCTCCAGGCCCCTTGAAAACTTGTTCAGGACACGTTGAATTATGAAAATGGGTGGTTGCCCTATAACCAGGCACCAGCCTCAAGGACAGAAATGTCCATCTCTCAGGAGTTACTGGAACATCCATGCAGGCAGCCTCAGTCTCTGAAGTAAGCGTGATATGACCTATAGCGATGTTTCCAGGGTAGGGCGGAGGTTGTTGGGGGTAGGTGGGGCATTTCTTTGCAACGCCTACCCTCCTTTGAGTATCGGATACAGAGAAGTAGGCTTGAGGCCAAAGATCATGGGTATGATCACAATGCTTCTGGTCTCTCCCTTGAGTGGGGGGGGGGGGGGTGTTCCCTAAACTTGCTGGGTGGCTTTTTTTTACCCCTGAAGACTCCGCCCTGTGCTTGTCCAGACTTGCTCTTAATTCACAGCCTACAGTCGTCTTTCTTCCAGTTTGGCTTAGATGTCTGAGGATGGAACTTGGAACCATGTTTGTGTAATTCATATTCACATGGCAAACTTCTGCATAATTTGTTTTAAATGGCCTGTAATGGTTTGTCAATATTGCGACAATATTATATTTGAGATTTATTCCAGGTGCTTTCCAGTTTTAATATCTCTAAAAGGAGGACAGAATGACATTAACAACAAAGTTGTTTACACAATGTCTGTCCAAACTGAACTATTTTGATCTATTTTTCTTTGATCCCTCTATCGTAATTGTGTTTGCAATACAGTGGTCATTTTGCTTAATTTTTTACTCGTGTTTGCATTTCGTAATGAGAAATTCTTAATTACTTGTGAGTTTTTGGAATAATGTAAAATATATTTATATATTGTCAGGGATTTGTGGAACTCAAAAGGATGCAAAAGCCAGAAACTGTAGCTAAATCTTCTAACCAAAATATCATGGTGTGCAAAAGACTGCTAAATAAATTAATGTAAATGCAGTTTGTGTACAGACATAACAGTGATGATATTCAGATATCAGAAGCTGGGGCGATTCTAGAATTTGACCCTTAGAGGGGCTCAGAAATGCCGGACTCCCCCCACCCCCCAATAATTAAATTTTCATCATTAAATAAAACTAATAGAGGAGTGGAGGTCCCCCACAATAAAGTTTGTTGAGTCGGGGTATTACGAAATGTCTTCAAAAATACGGGGTAAATTGCTAAATGTTATAAAAATTATTTTTAGAGTGCTGAATCCCCACTAAATAGGGTCTATCAGTCAGACACACATTAATTATACTTCTCGTAATCTCTCCATGAAATTATGTTGATGTAAGATTGCACAGAAAGAGAATGCAGGCAAGGAAATAAATATTCCTAATTTTCTCCACACGAGGGCAGCATTTTACACTATATCGAAATGAAGAACTTCTCGTGTCACTAAAATAGTTTTTACACGTTTTATGGTCTGTTTGACTTTTTTTTTTATAAAGACTCAAGGCCAATCTACAACGACTCAAAGAAAAGAAAAGGCCAGCACTGTAAATTCACAAGCTACATGCACTTTAAAACAGTACTACTGACTCTTTCACTACAGCAGAATGACATAGTAATGCATAAAACTGTTTGTTAGGACCTATTTTACCATATGCCTTTTTTATTCTGTTTTTAACCAATCCGTTTCTAGGTCTTCATTGAGCAACAATCACAAACATTGCGAGCATCCCTACATATTTCACAATTTCAGTCTTGTTCACGTGTGATACCAGAACTTTATACATCCCTACACCACCAGTTTAAGCTCTATGAAGGTGTCAAAATTTGATATTCAACATTGTATATTGTGTCACCATCCAGTGTACAGGGCACCAAAACCTTTTACTCTAAACCATGACTTATGTCCACAGTGTTCCCCAGCACTTTCCAAGCATCCTTCACCCTCATTAGCAGATGCTGCTGTTTCCTCAGTAGAGAGTATAGCCGGGAGTATAGCTGGAAGTATAGTAAGCCTAAGAAAGCTTTCTCTTTCAGCTTTGCATGTGGCCTGAAAAGGTCTTTTACCCTGTTTGTTCAATGCCAAGAACTTGTCAAAGAATTCTGTGACAGTCAACCTAGATGCCATTTTTACCAAGACACTAGGCACAACACAGCTGCTCATAATGAAATTCTGCTTTTTGTTTGTAACGTGGCTGTACACTTTACAAATTTAATGTAACAAATTTCATGCCCCCTCGATTCCCCCCTTTTGTAGACAGAACTTAAACAGCCCCTCCTTCTTATAAAGGAATTCACCAGTTCATTGTCATTTCAAGATGTCTTTCTGGTTGCTAAGCAATCACAACAAATCAAATCAACTTTCAGAATCAGATGGCGATTTCTTAAAATAGAACCTTTATTATATAAAATGCTTTCATACAAAATTATCATAAGATTAGACTATACAAGGCATTTGTACACAAGACAAAAGGCACAGGAAATTCATGAACAGACGATTTTTGTAGCTGGTGCCATCTGTGGGTCAAGACCCTCCCACCGCTGTGGGGGGGGGGGGGACTGAACCAAATCACACATAGTAAACAGATGTCTGAACCTGATCGGTAATTTTATTCGGGATGTTTAGCACAATAGAAATAACGAAATAAAATAACGCCATTGGTTTTATTTTATTATTATCGTTAGAATAAACATAATATCTCTACTAGGATCAATGTCATAGAGGACAGCTTAAAAGCCAATGTTTTTATGCCTGGCTGAAGGCATAGCAATTAATAAAGTTAATATCAGTGCTGCCTAAATTAACTTTAACCTTTATAATTAGAAATCCAGAATAATGTAACTGATATTCAAAGTCTTCAGAAATAAGTGCTTTGCTTTGAGGGTCGCAGAATGTCAGGGTTCATGCCTGCACCATACAGTGCTTAAAATATTGTACTTTGAATTCAAGAGTATTTAAAAAAAAATTAAATATAAATGAGGAGAGAATAACCATGCATGACGCAAACAGTTCTTATTCACAAACTAGGACTAGACTTTGCGCTGACTTTCATCTTCAGGACAAGAGCATCGTTTGCGTTAGCTGCACACCCATGAGTTTGGATGGAGGGATCACACAAAATATTGTGTAGCTTATTTTTCCATATTCACTCCAAAGAGTTTCATGACGAAAGAGGATTCTCTTATTCAGTTACCTGGGTCTGTCAATGGTGAGGGCAGCATCAACCAGTCAAGAGTCAACTCCCCCCCCAGATCACTGTGGCTGATGGCCACCTTCACATAAATGGTTTGAGGTTAGAGTTGGCAAACGGCTACACGACATGCAGGGAAAAGCAGGAGCATCGCGCTAATTTAAGGTCGGGCTACAAACAGAACAATGTCTGTCTGCTCTTTTACAGAAGTTGTCGTGTAACCATGTGCTTTCATATGGACTGTGATCCAAACACACACACATGTAGGGTAAACATATCCTTATGGGGACCGCTCATTCATTTCAATGGGAAAAATGCTAACGCTAACTATGAAAACCCCCACCCTGCCCTAACCATAACCATAAATAACCAAACAAAATACAAGAGTTTTTGCATTTTTAGTTTTTTCATAGCAGTCACCAATTTTTATAAAATAGAGTTTTCCCTTATGGGGACCAGGAAACCAGTCCCCATAAGGGAAAAAAAACAGATATTTATCACGTGATGGGGACATTGTGTCCCCATAAGGATAGGTAAACCCGCTCACACACACACACACACACACACACACACACACACACACAAAGAAACAAAAGAACAAATGTAATGCACTGCGCAGGATTAATAACTTACAGCTTTAAACATCTGTATAATTATTTCATAATTCATCTCTTTAAATGTGAATTTTGCATTTTGTCATTATTCAGAATATAGGTTATAAGTACAGTAGCAGCAAACACACTTTTGGTAAACTGGGAAAAACACCCAAGCCATCACGGAGGGACAGATTCAGTCACATACAAATTCATTCATAAAAAAAAAAAAACATAGCAGTATTTAAAGCTCAGTTGTACATATTTACAAAACACCTTAAAGTTTTGGTTTTTCTTTCAGGTCACATGTCTCATTGGGAAATATGTTAAAGAGTAAATTGTTTCTGTCAACAAACCAGAACCTACAATCCCATAGGACCCGTCGTACTGTGAAGTGGCTACTAGCTGGATAACAGCTCTACACGTACAATTTGTACTACTGATTGCTAAAATAACTTAATGCTAAATGTTTTTTTTTTGTCACAGAGTGCATGGCTCAAAAGGTCAAGTTGAAAAGCAACCTTTACAGGTAAATAAAACACCGATTCACATTGCTCCAGCAGTGAGCCATTAATATTTTTCCAACAAAGTCCCCTTTTATTGTCAATAAAAGGGTCTAGATCATTGATCCATGTTATTGTGGTTTAAAGGCAGCATTTCAGGAAATGTTGGCATCTTTTATGCTATAACACGTGAGGGTCGCAAGTCAGGTGGACTTGGTGGATGAGCCAATGAATCCCACAAGTGCATCGAGTCGCTGAAGTCAGGAGATCTTCCCTCCTCGACTTCTGTGAATTCTGTTCAGCTTTCCCATGAAGCAGACATGCATTTTTTTTCCTGGCCGCTGCCGTTGTCGCTGTGCCATTTCACCTCACTTTCACTGACAATTTTTGAAGCGACGTTTTTCTGCAACTTCCGAAATCCCCTGCCAGGGATTTTCAAGCAATTTTGTGGATAAGAGTCCCAGGTGAGAACGTGGGGCAGGAGACACTGCACTAGGCCACCGACCAGCTAGCATTCTTCAGGCTCAAGGGGCCCGAAGTACAATCCACTTTCCCTGGAACTTCCCGTCTTGCCAACCTCACTCCAGGAAGAAATTTATCCCAATTCCTTTCCTTCCCTCCCACCCTTACAGGAATGGGTGACCATTAGTGGAAATTAATAAAATATAATCATCTGATCTGTTCATATTTTTAAAAAGTATTTACAAGTGTGGCAGCCCCCCCCCACTCCCCATCTGCCATGGTCATGAGGAGTCAGTGCAGGGGGAGGGCGGGGGCGGACATAAGTGGAAGTAACTGCGCTCGGTGGAAGGAGATGGGGGGCAGCTTTCCTCTGCAGACAGGTACTGGCTGCGGGGAGTGGGAGGGGGCGGGTAGGGGTCCGAATCCGAGTTCAGGTCCATGTAGTACTTGTTGCTCTTCCACCGGCTGGTGGTGTAGTCACTGTCACACACATCTGTGCTGCACGGGGTTGTGGGCGGAGCCAAACCCCGCATCAGGTATGGCCTTGGGGGAAGGAGAGAGAGCAGAAAGGAAGAGGGAGGAGACGTCAGACTAGGAGCAATGGTACATTAGTGGGCAATGCGGTTTAACTGGTCACACATGACGGTTTATACAGCTGCCAGTATTCAAAGTTCATATATATGTAAAGCATAAGATTATTTTAACCTGACGTTTCACATGAACGAATGTCGGAAAAGACTCACATCATACAGATTTAATTTACATTGATGACTGTTTGTATAACATAAAATGAAGAGACCGGTAGCTGGGTTGTTGGACATCTTGCCAAGTCAGCTCAAGGCTGCCTGGCGGTTCTGGTACAAATATCAGGTGACCTGCATGGAAGGGGATCAGATGGCTTGCTCTCCCACCTGCGTGCGACGTTGGAGAACGTTGGGAAGAACTGACCTGTAGGACCTAGTAGTGGAGGGGCTGTTGGAGGAGTAGAACATCTCGGTGTTGTACAAGGAACGGTCCGTGGCTGGAGAGGGCGGTGGGTTGAGTATCTGTAGAATCAGACAGAAATAGGCTGACATGGTGAGTTTAGCAGTGGCAGTAGTGCTTTGAGAGAGCACTGCGTGGGCAAGGTTCAAGTACCTGAGGGTAGAAGGCAGCTTTGGTGCTGGATGAGCTACTGGAGGATGCGCCGGTAACATGGTTCCGGTCGTAGAGCGGTGCTCCGCTACTGCTACTTCCCATCAGGCTCATGGAACTCATCATGGACTTCCCACAGGAGATACCTATAGCGACACGGTCAGAGTATGGTCAGGGCACAGTCAGAGCACAGGCAGGGCACGGCCAGAGCACAGGCAGGGCACGGCCAGAGCACAGGCAGGATACAGTCAGGGCACAGGCAGGGCACGAGGCAGGGCACGAGGCAGGGCACGAGGCAGGGCATGGTATACTGATATACTGATGACTGCCACATTCATGAAAGGTACATCCACACTCACACAACGCAGCCTAGGAGTACAGATTCACGCGGTTCACTCAAACAAGACACACACATGCAAACCTCAGAGAGAACTGAAGATTTACTAGCTCAACATAGAGAAAAAGCCACAGGAAACCCAGTCAACTCAAGTCAGCAAGTGAAGCGGTCAGGAAAACAGATGCTAAAACCTGAGCCAGCAAAGTCTGGTACTTCACAAAAACACAGACCCGCAGAAGGGGGGAAAAAAACCATAAGCACATTGAATAAATAAGCTTCTTTTGGTCCGTTTTCACTTAAATTCACTTTGCGAACATAAGGAGAAAATTCTGACCTGGCATTAAAACAGGGTGGGGAAACAGATGTTTCCAAATGAATACCTCTTTTGTTACCTAAGCTATTACAAAGAGAAAAGTCCAACAGGAGAACAGGCAGGGCCAAGTCCAGCAGGACGTCCTGGGAGAGCTCACCGGTGAATGTGCCATGTTGCGGGTTGCCCGGGGCGATGAAGTTCAGGGGCACATGAGGCGCCCCGCTGATGTACTCATGGGGGAAGGCACCACTAGGGCCCTTGTAGCGTCGGCACACCACTCGCTGGCAGACGAAGTACATGCCACCCATCACAAAGACAGACAGGATGATGCCAATGACCGGTCCGATGGCACTGGTGTGGCCGGAGATCTCATTGAATGAGGGATGTGGCACCTCTGCAGGGACACACACACATAAAGAACCCAGATAATAGATCAGCTATCAGTTTCTTCCTTCTGGAGAACCACCAAAAATTTTGCTTGTGGGAATTTTACTTACACAAAAATGTTCTGAGGGCAGAAGGAAAAATGATTGGTTCAGAGAGATAACCAATCAGATTGTAGAGGAGGTGGGTCCAAGCAACTATAGGAGGCGGGACCAAGATTTCTGATTGGTTGATCCCACCTCCTCTAGTTGCTTTGACCCACCTGTTATACAATCTGATGTTAGGTCTTTGAGCAAATCATTTTTCCTTCTGCCCTCAGAACATATTTGCATAAGTAAAACTCCCATGAGCAAAAAATCTGGGGACAAAAGCTTTGCCTGAGTGAGATGCAGTTTACAGTCCCTGGCAGTAGGAGGTGCTGTGGGGTTACCGCAGAAGAGCTCATCAGAGTTGTCATCACAGTCTGAGTAGGAGTCGCACTGCTGCTTCTTCTCGATACACTGGTTCCCACAGCGGAACTGTGTGGTGAGGCAGATGGCTGTGGGGAAGATGGACCTCGGTTACAACAGGCAAGAGACTTTCCATCATTCAGAGAGACAATTCAAAAGAAAACAGGGTGATGGAAAACTGCTGACAGGCCACATGTACCAAATCAGCCACCCAGGGGAATTATGGGTATCCAAAACACACGCCGGGGAGGCAGGCTTACTGTCGCAGTCCTGCTCGTCGGAGCTGTCTGAGCAGTCGATCTCGCCGTTGCAGCGCAGCTGTGCATCCACACACTGGCCCTTGTCACACTGGAACTCCAAGGCCGTGCAGACGGGACAGTTCTCCTCGTCACTTTTGTCATCGCATTCCGCAAAGCCATCGCAGCGCCAGGCCATCGGGATGCAATCGATCTCACCGGTGGCACAGGTGTATTGCTCCGTAGAGCAAGTGGGGGGCTCTGGAGTGGGGGGATACAAAATGTGAGGATCTGCTGGGATAATCGATTTGGACAGTAAATGGGACTGAGGAAGGAGGAGATGTTGTCACTTTTGGGACTGGGCCTGCTCTACGTGCCTTTACTGTACTCAGCCCAAACATCCCTGTCTCACATCTGCCAACTGAAGGCAGTAGGACAGAAAGGATTCTGATTGGCTACCTCCACAAATGAGCAGATTCTGCAGCAGCACCAGGTGCATGGGGCAGGAACAACGTGGCGTGCCATCACCCTTGGCGATGCAGATGTGCGAGCAGCCCCCGTTTCCATGGGAACAGGGGTGTGAAGCTACCAGGAAACACAAGCGTTGAAGTTAGTGGCTACATATATAAACACATGCATCTTAGGTGACAGAGTTACTAGCTGATTCTAGAACATACCGAACTCCTTTGGGTCCATGTCCTCCACGGCATGGATGCTGGTCAGGTGCATGACCCGGACCTGGACGCGTGTGCGCCCCTCCCCAGTGACCTTGTCCACACACTCGATCATCTGCTGCTGCCGGTCAATCCAGTACAGGTGGCCCCCCAGCACAGTCAGCCCCATTGGCTGCAGGATGTTGGAGTCCTGCAGTGTGATCCGATTGGCTCCTGAAGGAGAGGGTGCGGGGCTTGTCAACACTTGACCAATTATCTGGACCACTTATCTCAGCAGCGTTAAATATTAAAAGTAAGAGGAACATTTTTTCCCTTTTGTCATACTTTCTCCAAATAAACAAGATCGTCAATGGTGCTCAATACTGAATACATCTATAAAGACCTTTGTTATATACACTCATCCTTGGTCTGAAATGGCAGGGATTCGGTACTGGGCTCGGGTGGAGGGGGGAGTTAGCATAGAGGTCGGTGGGTGAAGGAAATGAGAACTTGGCTGGAGAGCGTAGAGAGCCAGCCAGGTCTCCATCTGCAGCCATCGATTTCCCTGCTTTTTGCGATATTTATTTTTTTGGTTCGCTCCAAAATCCCTATACCTGGCAGCAATCGTGGGACTGAGTGGGACGGTGGTGACTCGACGAAGAGTCATACTCCGCTCTCTAGGGATCCCAATGGCTGCTGACAATATCCAGGGAGGCCTGGCCTGAGTCAGGAGATGGGACACCCTGGCTGAGAGCCTGACATGCCCTGGGGCAGACAGCGGGCTGATAAACCGCCCAGACCTTGACCGCTGGGTGGATGAAGCAGGAGCCATGAGAGCTCTGATCCATGGCAAACACACCCGTGGAACCGAGCGGCATTGGTTCTGAACGGAACCAATACTTCATCCTTGTGCCCTTTTCTCAAACTGCCAATCTTGGGTGTTTCTCAATACTAAGAACGCAAACACCATACTCGGTCTTGCTAACTTGCCTCCCTAATTTGGGGCACAATGAATCATGGGATTGGTCTCGTTCCGGGAGGATGCAATTGATGCATCTGTATTTGGGACGGGGCAAGAACGACATCCAAGGATTTTTACCGTCCTCTGTACTTCTGTTCTTAGCACTGGAACTGGTCTCTGGCAATGGAAGACGGCGTAAAACGGGTACATGAGAACACAGGTACGGCCCAGTACACATCCCGAGAAACACCCCTTGAAAGGTCTAGGGCTTGAGAGACAAGGCTCCACTATGATTCGGTGAGCAGGGGGGAGAAGCCCACCTGAGAAGCCAACCCCTCCCCCAGCCTATGATGGATGGCCAACATGCAAGGTGTCTTGCCCTGCCAGGAGACATCAAACCCCTCTCTGCTTCTGGAAAGTCTCAGGATGTCTCGCAGCTGCCTAATTACAATAAAGATAAAATGGAAGGTTGCTTTGAAGGCAGGAGTGGGATCTGCAATGACAAGGGCGGAAGTCTCTCTCTTTTGTCTAGAAAGATCCATATCGCCTCTTCCAAAGAACCGGATTCTAGAGACTCTCACTTTCTCTCCTTACTCCCACCCCCCATTCAGGAGGGAAAAAAATAGTTTCAGTCTGAAAAATGGAGAATTGACAGGAAACGCATCTGCTGTCATGGAAGCAAGTCCGTGTCGGATTAGGAGCCCTCAGCTCGGAGACTGCCGCAGAGCCAAGCCCAAATTAATAAACAGTATTACCCTAATGGGTGCTGCAAACGGACCCTAAAGGCAAGGAACAGCGTGTCCCCCGCCTCCCAGAACCTCTGGTCATTAATCACCAGAAAAGAAAAAAAAAAAAAAAAAAAAAAACAAATCAAGCAGGCTCTGATGTCTACCTCAAAGCATCATAAAACTCACATCGATGCTGCAACATTATTTCATTCCCAAGCATCAAGAAAAGCCCCTCTGATCTTAAAAATGCACAATTAATCTGTTGCGAAAACACTGTGTTTTTACATCGAAGAAACAGCTGCATAAATTAGTATCGGGCAGATCCAATTACGTGGGAGGGTTAAGGAACATCACCCATGGACAGAAACCACAAGGTATGTGCCTGACTTCAGAGAGCCTGGCATCAGGATCAAAGGGGCATGATTACTCATCTGAAGGGCTTAAAACGTCCCAAAGGTGCTTCATTATGGTGGTACAATTATGGACACTTTTGTGGAGACCGTTAGAGGGCAGATATCAGATAGACGGCGACATGAGGCAGAAGAGCGTAACTGAGGAGGTGACGCCTTGGGACCAGTGCGAGGAGGGAAGGCTCCACCAGCTAAGGCCGAAAAAGATCACACACATGCAACAGCCAAGGCGGGCAGGTGGGAGGGTCCTCACCGGAGAGGTCGCTACTCTCAATGCGTTTGAGGTCGGCATCCACCCAGAATAGCTTCCCTAGTCTGTGGTCCAGGGCCAGAGCCACGGGACGGATCAGGCCGGTGGTGAAGAGGGACTCGCGCTCCGTGCCGTCCAGCGAGGCTCGCTCGATCTTGGCGGCACGCTCCTGGATGGTGGTGAAGTACATGTATCTGTGCGACAGGAACAAGGATATGGGGAGACATTAGTATAACCAATGTATGAACTGCGAGTTTCACAGTCATAATCATGTCAATTCGCATTTTCAAGTCGCCACACCAAAACGTTAGTCAACTACGTGGAACGCAAAATATCTTCAAAGAAGTACATAAACAAGGGATAACAGTAGTGATGAATGATAACGGATTACAGGAAATACACCAGCTGACAAAGGAAAAAGAGGGAAAAGACAGGACAAAACCATCCTTTCTACAAGTCATGACTGTGGAAAAACTCATTTCTCTGATTCACAGTTTTATCAGACTCAATGAGACGCCGCGCGGAACCAGCTGAAGGTGCGACGCTGTTTTTTTTTTCCTCCTGGGCATCTGTTTGCCGTTCGGCTTTCTGTTTCAATCACGTCATCTTTATTTTTCCACTTAAAGCGGGACGACTGTGCGTCTGCGATAACTACAGGGGTATTAACTTGCGGCTCTCTTAAAAATAAAGAGTTCTGGCAGCTCAGAAATTAGGCCTTTTATCAACAGCAAAATGGACACATTCAGCCTGATGGCAGTTGATCGTGTTAAGCAGACAGCTATTTTTTAAATCACATATCCCACCACAAAAGCCCCCAACCAGAAAAAAAAAACAAAACAAACAGGGCAAATCTATATATTTTTCTGGAGAATTTCAAAACGCCACAAATTAATCTCACCATATGACAACAAGAATTAATGGTTTGCTTCTAGGGCCAAGGGTTAAGTGATTAACTTAACGGTGAACCACTGTTTTCTTTTCTTATTCCTTTCTTTTCCTGGGCTGGAGTGAAGCAGCAGACTCCCAAATAACACAGTGCATCTGCTCTTCCCCTACATCAGGCCCCCGATCACAGCTAAGTTTCAGAACCCCCCCCCCCCATATCACGCGAGAGGTCATCCAAGCCCCACCCAGCCTTCTCCAGGAACGCTATAAATAGGCGCCGAGAAGGATGGCAGTGGCTCTAACAATGGGAGCCGATTACAGAGGAAGCAGCCAAGAACCTTGACCGCGAGGCAAACAGAAAATGATCACGGGCGGCCATCTGCCCAACATGTGCAGCGAGTCGGGCCCCAGCTCAGCCCAGGACGCTCCGCAAGTTACATAAGAAGGATATGTATTTTTCCCCCATTCACCTACATAGAAGGATCTACAGTAACCCTCCCGTGTCAAATCCTTAATGCCACATCACTAAACACCCAATCCCTGGTGACCGCAAGAGCAGCCCGAACCAAAAATAACAGGACTGTACATCTATATTTAGTCAGTCTTCTGCATCTCACTTAGTGATTTCTTTTCTTTTTCTTGCAGGCGAACCTAAATTGAGGCTTTCAGGTTTTTAGGGATTTTGGGGTTTTTTTTTTTACCCCGTTTTCCATTTTGAACATGACTGGCGCTGGTGTTACGTTCATTCTTCACGGTTGGGTAGACGTGTTAGAAAAAACAGAGACAAAATGAAGAAAAACCGCAGCTTATGGAGTCAAAGGTGGAATCTTCCCAGACTGCATGAGTGACCACAAAATAACTCCAAGAGGAGGAAGCGCATCCCACCGGCACCCCCTCCTGGTGCTCGCCCCCCTTGCGTGCCTCCTCACCCTCTCTCAGCGTTGACCACAATTGCACGGGGCTTATCCTGCTCGTCCCGCAGCACCACACCGACAGAGGGGCCGGCCAGCTCTTGGATGTTGATGGTGTTGGTGGCCTCGCATGTCCAGTAGACCTTGCGGCTGTAGAGGTCCAGACTCAGGTCATGGGGTATCCTCTCCGTGCTCTGCTGGTGACTGGGTGTGGTCAACACCAACACAAATGGCTGCAGAGGACAATGAGAAAGATAGTTACCCGTCTGGTCCACGGTGTGTAACACATATATCAGAAGATCATTCTCTGAATTTCTATTAGGTCCTATTCAATAAATTAATATGCTTATGCTTCAAGGGAATGACCAAAGCAGAACGTTTGGTTACTTAAGGCCATGTTTTTAGTAATTTAGAAAGACATTCATAATGCATTCATAAAGTATACACATGGCTATAAATATTTATAAAAAGACATGACACATCATAGCTGTGCATATTACGCATTATGACTGCCTTACAAAGCTCTCATCTATAATGCACTATAGACACCTTCATAATGCAGTACAAAGGCAACCTTAATGCTTATATCAACCACTATAATGCATTATGAAGGTCTCTATAGTGCATTATTGATGAGAGCTTCATAAAGCATAATAGACATGGCTATAATGTGTTATGCCTTTTTATAAATATTTATAGCCATGATTATAATACTTTATGAATGCATTATTGTGTTATGAATCTGTTTATAAATTACTAAAGACATGGGCTTAAGTGTTACCAAACGTTTTTTCTGACTGTCTTGTTAGATTGTCCTTCAGATAGTGAAAGAATCAGGCACAGTGCCCCCTAGAGACTAACGAGGAGAAGCCCACCTGAGAGCCATCATCGCGAGCTCGTCGGATGTTCTGCCTGCCGTCCACCCAGTAGACAAGGCGGTCCAGAGGGTCGTAGCTGATGGCTCGCACGTTACGCTGGACGTGGATGGGCAAGATGATGTCGGGGTTCTGCTCGCCCAGCACCATGCGGCTGATGGACGTCTTCTGGCTGAAGAGCAGGAAGCTGGAGGGGGCTGGGTGGGGGGGGGGCAGAGAAAGAGGCAAGAGGTTGGAGGACTCAGCCATGACCGCACTGTTTCACAAAGTTAATGATCAGGCCCTCTCCCTACCACTGCAATGTAGGATTTGAAGAATTTCATTGTACTTGTCAATGAACAAATTACTATGAAGTTTTAGATCTTGAACCTTTTTTTGACACTTGAACCTGGGAAGCATGTCTACTGGGTGGACTCGAACAGGAGAAGAAATGACAGACCGAAAACAGAAAAGAATTACACACAAGGAGGGCAAAAAAAAAAACAAAAGCCGCAGCCTTCATCCTCAGTCCTGGAGCAGCTTTGGAGAGGCGCACGGACTATCGAATAGTTTTCTTATTCGGCACAAGATATTAAACATAAATAAAAATGTTTATGTGCTTTATAAAAATCCCAGACACTGGTGGTCATGTACAGCTGGGGAGCAGAAGCCTGGGGTTGATAAAACCAGCAGGTGTCCAGCACAGAACCAGCTGGTCATAAAATACGACGACTCATGCTTCCCAACCAAAGAACCAGAGCTTCTCAGCCCCAGGGGAAGAAAGGGAGGGGACAGAGGATTGGGCGGGGGGATCCAGTCTCAGGAGTCTTGGGTGACTGCTTCTCAGTCTTGCCCCGCCTCTGGGGGAGGGGCATCTGCATCCCAAGCCAATGAAATGTGCCTTAAAAACCTCTAGACTCATCAGCCAACCCAGGATGGGAGGAATCGAAGCATAAAAGAAAAACATATCAGGGACATATCATCACTTGCACACCTGCATCAAAGAGACCAAAAGCAGCATGAGAAATGAAACAGAGCAGCCGCCCAGCCTAGTCCCATGACTCACAGCTGCAGTTCCTGCCGTTGGCCTCCAGGGTGTAGTGCGAGGCACAGCGGCAGCGTGCGCCCTCGGGCGTAGCCAGGCACAGGTGGGAGCAGTGGCCGTTGTTCTGGGAGCAATCATTAAAGCCATCTTGCCGGGAGGCGTGGAACACCAGGATGTCCATCACGTACTCCAGGTGGCCCTGGACTATGGTGCGGTTCAGCCCGCTCCGCTTGTCGGCCCGTTCAATACTGCGCAGGTTCCAGTCCGTCCAGTAGATGTAATCCCGGTACTGGGTCAGCCCGAACGGGTGTGGCAGGTCGTCAGCAACAATCTCCCTCTGCTGGCCTTTAGGGGTTATGGACACCATCAACAACACTAGATCCCCCTTCTACAAAGAGTGTGAAATGTTAATTACTAGATTCTAGGTCAAACTCAAACTCAAAATCATCCATTCATGCATTCGTCTTCTATAGCACCTGTCCTATGCAAGGTCTCTGGGTTCTAGAAGTTTTCCCGGGGAACAACAGTCACAAGGTAGGGAATAATCCAAAACCTGCATTGCAAAGCAATTCACACCCCAGGCGGTCCACTTTCCTGTCAGTCCAGGAGTTAGCTTGGTGGACGGCTTTTTAAATTGTCCATAGGTTTGCCTGCAAATCTGGGCCCCGTCGGACTGACATCCCTTGCCTCATGCCCTATGCGTCCCAGGATAGAGTCTAGGCGTACTGTTACCTTAAACTACATAATCTGTTATGGAAACAGATATATTCTTGTTATAAGAAATGCTGCATATTTACAGCTTGTATTGAAGTGATTCAGATTAAGCACCTGAAAGGTTCTAGAACACAAAACCTGCTGTCACCTAGCCATTAGGTTACAGGTCCACCATCCTGGCCTACCCATTAGGTGTCGTGTCTTTTAGAGCCACAGTTCGAACTGACCATAAACAGGTTTACCTAGCATGTTGGAGGACTCGATCATGCAGGTGTCCAGGTCCGTCCAGTAGAGCCTCTGGTCAGCATAGTCGATGGTGAGCCCATTGGCTCTGCCCACCTTGTCCACCAGGGTGACCACACTGCTGCCGTCCATGTAGGAACGCATGATCTTCGGCTTGCCCCCCCACTCCGCCCAGTACATGTAGCTGCAGGGCGGCAAGGGCTAGCGGATTAGCATCGGCCAACAGTCGCCAAGCCAAGGGTGCTTCACGACCCAGGAAACGATGAAAGACTCCGGGGACATTGAGTGATGGGGGCTGTGGGACCTGATGTCACCCAAGCGATCGACAGCCCACTGGCAAGTGCAATAAAACACAGGGCTTGACAAACACTCTCAGCAACGATGTGAGCCGTTATTTCACTGCATGTTGAAACTTCGCTATATAGCAACAAGACTTTCCTCCAGAGCTAAGCTTGGGGTCGGTGCGGGGAGTTAGAGGAAGGTTCTAATTAGGTTATAATATATCAAGGGGATGTTGTGCTCCATGTAATGAAATGTGAAACATTCCCAAAGCGACCAGAGTCCCTGGAATAAGACTTGAGCAAGAAACTGGTCAGCTCTCTTACCCATTCGCAGGATCCAAGGCCAGAGAACGAGGGTTGTCCAGGTCCTTGCATATCAGCACTTGCCGGTACTGGCCATCCAGCCGGGCCACCTCTATGCGGTTGGTACCAGTGTCGGCCCAGTAGATGTTGCGGCCCATCCAGTCCACAGCCATACCCTCGGGGTAGTCTAGGCCAAACTCAATCACGTGCTCTATGGAACTCCCATTCATGAAAGCCCGGCTGATTGTCTGTATGGCCAAATAGGAAAAAAACAACTCTCAGATGCTGGAGCTGCAGCCATTTTATTGTATACAATTATACAAATGAGGCTCTCGCATGCAAGAGTACACATGCAGAGCCAACCACAACAAGCTGAGCAAAGGCCAGACCTTGGTGCTGACGTCCGTCCAGTAGATCCTGTTCTCGGAGACGTCGAAGTCTAGGGCGGAGGCCTCCTTGATGCCGGTGAGGGGGATGGCCACGTCATTGCTGTTGGTGCCCAGTGAGATGCTGCGGATGTCGGCGCGACTGGTGAAGAGCAGGAAGGCCTCGGGCACCACACAGGTGTGCAGGTCGCTGAGCAGTTCGAGGCCCATGGGGCAGGCGCAGCGCGGGCCTTGTGGCCGGTGGAAGCAGAGGTGGCTACAGCCGCCGTTATCGCTAGCACACGGGTTGGTGCCTGTTGTTACAGATAGTGGAAAGGGTCACCACAGAGGAGGAAGGGGTCACCACAGAGGAGGAAGGGGTCACCACAGAGGAGGAAGGGGTCACCACAAAGCAGGATACAATCACCACAAATCCACTCTGAGGTCATCGTTTACATTCACAAGCACAATCTTAGGGTGACTTCTCAACCCTGATCTACAAGGATCTTGATCTACAGGGAGCTGGTCACCTGAAGGCTGAAGAAGACCAAAATTAAGCAGTAAGGTATTCTGGTAATAAAAATTTCCTTGTCTTAGGGGAAAACAAAAAAATGTAAAAGGTCAATTAGACCAATCATTCTCTGAGGACGAGGACAAGGCTGCACTTTGAGAACAGAGGTGGTGTTTTCGCGAGAATCGCCTCCATACCGAAGGTGGCAGAGACTCTAGTCGCCTTCAGCCCCATCAGATCGGGCAGCTGGTCGATGATGATTTCCCGGACTGCCTCAGTCTTGTGCACGCGCTCGATGCTGCGGCGCTGCCAGTCCGTCCAGTAGACGTAGTCGCCTAGCAACGTGAAGCCGAAGATGTGGGGCAGTTTGTCCTCCAGCAGGGTCCGCCGACCCGTCCCATCCGTGTTGATCACCTGCAAAATGTGTGTGAAAGTTGTGGGGGCGGTTGCACTGAACGAGACTTTTGGTGCCTTGCATAACAAAGACAATCAGATGGACACTGTGCACAAGCATGTACACATAATTCTGCTGCTCTTAACTGCACGAGCCAGAAAAATATTTAACAAATTTCAAACATCTGCATCAAATCAAGTCATTGCTCACTAACTCCTTTAACACACTGTCTTGGGACAACAAACAGATAATTCGTATCCCAGTTGCAGACCACTAGATCATTACAGAAACACATATCATCTGCTTCTGTTTTTCTACACTCATAACCTCATAACCGAGTTGACAAGAGGCAACTGAAATATTTTGTGCACATTTGATTTAGTCGTGTTCCTGTTAACTTTGGAACATGGAAGGCGAACAAACGAGCAAGCAAACCTCCTGCAGGAAAGTATATCACAGCGAATAAACAAATGTGACAGTACCGAATCCCGGTCACCGAGAGGATAACGAGGTAAAATGACACGCAGAGTGGTGAAAGAACTAAGAAAAAAGATAAACAGGAAGCAAGCGCCATCTTGGTACCACTGTGTCCTTTTCAGAAAAAAGCTGCAATTACAGCCGTCGAGTCTGATCCTCACATTCCTACTACGGGGGAAAAAGTGCCTCTGAAAATAGACATGTCAGCGGTGAAAATGTTTACATTCAGAAAGAGAGAAAAAAAGTCTAGCATGGGACGGACGACACTCCAAAGACTCCATACTTTTCAGGAAAGGCAGAAAACGGGTGCAGAAAGGCGGCCATCAATCTGCCTGTTTTTGTGTTTTTTTTTGTGGCTTTGTTTTTCTTTTTTACTCAATGTGTCCTGTCTGGACTCTCACCTCCAGAACTATCCAGAAGGGCCACTCCCAGGGGCTTGTGGGATTGGCCCGTAACAAGGGGTTGAAAAGTTCACCCTTGCCATTGCAAGAAGCCCCTTGCTCCCCCCCCCCCTCTGCACCCCACCCTCCCTCACCTACTCCCAAAGCAAACCAGCCCCCTTCCCTGCAGTCATGAAAACTCGCAACTCCCCAAAATGCCTTTCTTTCATAAATACAGACGAGGCCTCCGACTTGTACAAACAGGAAAGTTATCAGAAAGCTCACAGGAAACTCCAAGGCCTTGCAACCTATACCTGTCTCGGGGCTTTAATAACGCCCTACTGTGGACTTGGAAATTCCCTTTCTGCCACGAAATGTTTTTCCAGCAAGCCATTTTTAGACAGGAATGCATTAAATTTTTATCAGAGGAAGGTAGACTGTTATTCGCCATTGATTATTGGGTGGCTGAGCTGCCTTAAGGGATGCAATCTGGTTCTAGCGGTTTGCCAGTGATGGTTGCAATAACGCCATTGATTGTTTCGTGTGGCGCAGCCCTTAAAATGAGGACTTCCTATGGAAGGGGGTGGGGGGGCGTTCCTGTGCTGAGCACTTCCTGTGTGGAGCGGGGGGCCGAGGCAGAGCTGGAGAGGCTGTCAGCGGTTGTCCCAGAGTGATGTCGACTTGATTTATTCCTGCAGTGTGGACCCTATGGCAGGCAGATCAGTTGAGCAGATCCGTGGAACTGGAGGAGACATCAGCGAGACTCTCAGAAGTTGCGTACAGGAGCTCCGATACATTCGAACTCCTGCAACAGAGTCAGACACCTCCAGCAAGGAAAAAGGGGCACTAAACAGCTGTACCTGCACATCGGGCTCTAGCAGCGGGTTATTCAAATCACGGGTGTGGAGACTCTAGCCAATCAGAACCAGTAATTATTAACTACCTGGGAGAACTGAAAAACAAGGCCTGGATTTGGAATCGAGGGCCAGATTTGCTTTAGATGTACTGCAGATTCTGTACAACTCCCTGCTACACCTACACTCAGGAGACCATAATAAGACATAATAATAAAGTATAAGACTCCCCCAACCTCAACCTTGTGGTTTTGACTCGCCTTCATCCTATGACCAGGGCAGGATCAACCTTCTCAGGAGTTCTAGGGGGCCCATTACCAAGAAAATCCATGATAATTTCAGGGCCCTAGGTCAGTGTTTTTCAAACCAAGGGACCCCCAAGAAGGTCCACATTTTTGCTCTCTCCCAATTCCCTGGGAGCTGAGAGGGAGCAAAATCATGGAGCGTTCGGGGGCCTCAAGGACTGGTCTGAAAAACAGGGCGGGCAGCGCCATGTGGCGCCCCCTTCAGGAAGAGTCCCAGATGGGGAAATGCCACGTTCAGTAACGGGTTTCGTCTTTCACGATTCTATTCAACTTCTGCTTCTGCTGAGGCGGCCAGCTTGGATTCCCTGGAGGGGTAGGTAGATTAAAACATCACATAACAAACAGAATGGCTCGTTTTCACAGCGCCTGACAAAGTGAGACGTGACAGGAGACGCGGAAGTATAGGTTCGGCCTGCTTTGTGTGGTTCCCCACAAATGCTACAGCGTTTGAAGTGGAAGGTATGTTTCAGAATCATCTCTTAGTGAAGAACATTCACTTACTGACATATTTCATGAAACAGGATCTGTTAGGGTGGAAATTTTTCAGGGAAAAAGGCACACGCAATCATTTTTTCAGTATTTTAGGAATTCGCAGTTAAAACATAAGCCATCAGACAGACTTGACTAATGAAGGTTTATATGGCCACTATGCAAATGTGCGCTGGATGAGTTTTCCTGGGGTCAATGCAGCCAACCAGAGACCAGGATCTCGTCACCAGGCTTAGTCAGCACTGCTGTGCTACTCTCACACTCCTTACGGCGGCCGGGGACATCCTCCTGCTTAGCTTGTTCACTAGCTTCCCTCAGGAAGGCTGTCCTACCTCCGGATGAGGGAGGGCAGGGTGGGAATGTCCGGGCAGTAGCACACCGGGGGCTCTGTGCATGCTGGCTGCTGGGGCTAATTATCACGGCGGCGTGCGGAGCAGGCCCCCGGGACCCCGCGGGAGGAGAGGAGCGGCTTGACCACAGGGGGCGCCATCGAGCAGTCCGCTTTCTTTTCAAACAGAGCTACTCACTCCTGCTTAAGAACCCATGTCAGCTAGAAACAAAAAGGTGAAAAACCATATCCTAAGTGAGAAAACTTAATTTCGCAGACGTTTTTACAGATTGAGTTCATACATTTACCGCAGATTCACACTAGAAGTAGAACGCTTTGTATTATATTCGACTCCATTGAATTCTGGTCCGACCAAGCAAAAGAAGAAAAAAGATCGCTCTGTTGGCTATTGTATCAGCAACCCCCCACCCCCCCCTTTTCATTTTTATAGAGGCAATTAGTCACAGCCAACGCTGTTGAAAGGCCGCAGTAACCTTGTTCTCCATGGACTTTTTGATGGCGAAATAAGTCCTCTTTTAAAATGGTGTGAGAACGCTTTTTTGACTGGGAAACTGCCGCATAAAAACAGAGAGAACACAAAAGGAAAGGGGGAGAAACGGGGGCAAGAAAAAAGACCTTGTGCGGAATTTGGACACAAGTTAGATTTGCAACGGCTTCGATGCTGGCGAGCTGTAGACCCAGAGCATCCACACAGACTGCAGCCCATCCGCCAGAAAACTGAAAAGTTCCACGGGCTGTGGGGTTCTGTTCTCTTGTCCGTGACTCGTTCTCCAGCACGAACGCTTCCTGCTCCGCCGGCAATGACACGCTCACCCATTCCCCCGAGCGGCAGCCTCCCAAAATTTTCCCCACATCACCCACTGGCCGGCGCCTCACCTCGCTTCTGCTCGGCCTGAACGTGAACGCAAACCACCAACACATTCTTACCATGTGAACGCCACGTCCTCAATGCCGCATCATCGACGCCTCGTCACCGTCTCCTGTGGCTGTCTAACCCCCCTACTTCCCAGCACCCCCGCCACAGTCACTCCAAGGCCGCATTAGGTTGACCCCCCACCAGACAAGCCTCGACGATTCACTGTGTTGGGTCTCTGTTCTCTATCGATCTAGTACCGCTGGATATAGCCAAACTGGCCCACTATACTGACCAGCGCCAAACCAATCCGGAGGCCTTCGATTTCCCATCACTTTCTGTGACAGCTCCACGCCCAAGATAACCCCCACCCTTCACCCCCACCAGCACGCAGACGCCGCGGCGAGTCAGCAATCTGTAACGGCGCTGTTCGCAGTTTCAGGCCCAAGGGGTCCGGCTCGGGTGAAGGCAATGAAACCGGAAATGAAACAGAAAAAAAAAATTTTTAATGGCAGGCAGTCGGGATTTAAATAACTGGCATCAGATTTAGAGCCTCTCTCCAGATTGGGGGGTAATGAGCATCAGGGCTGAATGGAAATGTGATCCGGCGACGGTGGCATAAGCAGCACAGGCTTCGAGGACCCAGGAGGTGGTTCGCGGCCCACACACTCATCGCCAGGGGGCGGGGCCAGTGCCTCCACGCGACTACAGACCAGCAGCACGAGGAGCTGCTGCAGTCCCGTGAACCCATCCGGTGGGACGACCGGCGCTTGTAAATTCTTGTAAGGCGTGGGCTGAGGCACACAAGGAATGCATTGTTAACAGACAACCCGTCCGCCATGACAAGGACTCTTCACCACAACATCGGTATATATTAAAAAAAACAGCGGGGGGGGGTTGTTGTTAGTGTACTTTGGGACAATGAGCCGCAGGCGCAGCCAGAACAGAAGCTGCACGCCTTGCAGGCCGCTCCCTGTCTGTTGCCCGCTGTGGGTGTACCTGCCCCGCCCCCAGGTGGCGATGTGGAGTGCTCCAGCTTGTGCCCCGGGGGCTGGTTCCTCAGCTGGAAAACATGGAGGGGGATGAGTGGCAGAACCACAGGACACATTTGCTGGGCCTCCCCTCGGACCCACGGGACGCGGCTCAGAGTGTAAACACGCGTAGACGAGCGGGGGTGACTACAAGCCAGACGCCGTTTTGGGGCGCGCTGAGGGACTGGGCCGATCCTTCGGGCGCCACACATGGCCACAATACCGACGGCGTGCTGTTAATTTAAAGCAGTGGGCACCCTCCCCCTTAATTGTGAAATTTGG